TCGAGCAGCCCAATCCCTCCACCTCAATCCGGACGCTCCGTCACCGGGCTGGACTGACCTGTCAGCCCTCCCAGGGACAACACCGCTCCAGACCCCCAGCATTCACTAAATTCGGGCACACACTGTAAATATTTTTGCCCCTTTTCGGGCCGATTATCCAGTCATGCAAGAATTTCTATCAGGCCGACATTCAGCCTGAACATGCATTGTCTAGTGTACAGGGGGTAACGAGGGCCGATCAGCCTCTAACGACCACCTCCATGTCTTTGTCTAAATACATTTTCTTTTTAGGGCTTTCACCACAAAATTGCACAAATTGCCAAGGCAGTTTGTTTCACTAGTGAGCTTCATATTCCTCTTCTACTCGTTTGGCTTCCGGATAGACGAGTCAGAGTAGCGCCATCTCACTGCGGAGCTGAGTCCCACCTGGTTTTTAGATGTACACTGTGAGCAGGTAGATCGCATCAGAGCGTCAGGCGTGCAACGATTTCCAACTTTATGAGTTGGAAAAATAGTTTTAACACTTTTGTAAGTGAGAAAGTCCCCTCCAAACATCGTCTGTTTATCAGTTCATCAGGATTATAATCCCACTAAAATCTGCAGTTCTTGTTGGGAGCTCCAGACCTCCAGCTGAAAGCGCTCTGCTGCGGTCAGCCTGTGGGGGATTTCCTGCTGCTGTTCATAGCAGCTGAAAGTAAATAGAAAGAGTTCTTAAGGTTTGTTCTAAAACCTGCAAGTACCAGAAAATACAATTGAATATTTCCATCAGCATGTTTTAACATTTCTAGTTAATTTGAGTATTTATAAACTGTTTCTCCATAGTTCATAAAAAATGTTTTAGTGCAGCAATAATAATCAGAGCTGCTCTCTGTTCCCTATAGATAACAATTCTTCCTGCTTTTTTAACATTTTGGGAATTAACTCTTTGGAATTTATTTATTTTTCATATGCAGAATGTCTGCAGAAGCGAGGACTGTTTGCAGCTAGTTTGTGTCTCCACAAAATACTCCTGGATCAGCTTTTCTGATTGGTTGATGCTCCGGCGTCCAGCAGCAAAACTTAAATTTTTAAACCTCATCGACTTTGCATGTAAATCACAGAAAACACGGCCGGAGTGAACACAGCTTTAGACTTTGATCCTGATTTTGGATTCTTTGATTGGACTAACAGTTGTACTACTGCTACTCCTTCTGATCAGGTCTTCTTGGTGTCCTGATTTACTCCATCTGCTCAGGTGGGCCAGCTACTAACCACCACTCTCTTGAAAATAAACCTTTAAGTCTGTTTTCAGCTTTTCTCTCTGCATTGAGGTCCAGTAATCATCACAGACGTCCCACTCTGCCACCATTGGTGAGGAGATAAAGGTAGTTCCCCCTAAAACCTCAACTAGATAAAAACATAGTCTGAATCCATGATGAGGGATAAATGGAGATTTTCCTATTTTTCTGATAGAGCAGAAAACATCAAAGGAATAATATGCAGGAGATTTGATAAGAGGGATTTGATTTAAATCAAAGACGAATCCAATTTGAACTGAAGATTTTATATTTTCTAATATGGAGCTTTAAATATTTGAAGACCTGTATTAAAGTTGGACTCCAGATTAGTGGCTGTGATGTAATTGTGGTTCTTCTCAATTAGTTAAGAAAAAGGTTAAAGGAAAAGTCCGGTCAAATTCAAAATACAAACTTCTGAAAGTTCTTTAAATCTGAAATTATTCCATCCTGTTCAATAAATGATCAGTGTTTTTAATTCAGAGT